TGATAGGAGCTGGCGGTGCACTATGAGCTGACTGTCCTGAAGGAGGTACATAAGGACTATGACCCCCTGAAGCTCCATGAGATGCTTGAAGTGCTGAATGAAACGGCCTGGGATGATGGCCCCTACCAAAATAATCCATGTCTCCAGATGAGGCACCACTGAACCTACCCGAATGATGAGGCCTCTTGTCAGACCCCTGACCACTCTCCTGAGATAGAGTTTCCTCGACTCGGCGGGCCACATTGGCTGCATCCCGAAAAGAAATCTCGCTTCTGTTCTCTTTAGCCATCTGCAATCTGATAGGCTGAGCAAGTCCCTCAATAAACCTCCTCACCCTCTCTCTCTCTCGATGGGAAGTATAAGAAAATCATGACGAGCCAAGTTAATAAATCTGGTCTCGTACTAAGTGACGGTCATAGAACCCTGCTGAAGGCGCTCAAACTGCCTCTGATAGTCCTCTCTCTGAGTAATAGGGAGAAACTTCTCCAGAAATAGCTGAGAAAACTGATCTCAAGTCAAAGCAGGCGATCCAGCTAGTCTAGCCAAACAAAAATACCTCCATCATTTCTTGGCGGAACCTGATAAGCGAAAAGCAGCAAAGTCGACCCCATTGGTCTCCACTATCCCCATGTTCCGTAGAACCTCATGGCAACTATCCAAATAGTCCCGGGGATCCTCTGAAGATGTACCGCCATAGGTAGTAGTGAAAAGTTTGGTGAACCTGTCCAACCTCCACAAAGCATCTATAGACATAGCTGCTCTATCGCTGGTCTGTGCTACAACACCCGGCAGGACTACCCCAACTGACTGAGCTACTGGAGTCTGAAACTGGGGAGTCATCTGCTCCAAAGTGTGAATAGCGGGAGTCTGTGCTCCTCCCCTATACTGAAAGACAGATGGTGTTACAGGGAGTATGCCTACCTGAATGACACTCTCCATAAGGCCCACTAGACGGACCAGAGCATCCTGGAGTACCGGGGTGGCGATGAAACCCTCTCGGACCTGAGCTGGCCCTGCTAGAACGGTGTGGGCCAGAACCTCATCGTCGAACTCCACCTGAGGCTCCACCGCTGGTGCTGCTGCTCAAGCTTTGGGGTGAGCTCTGCCCTTACCTCGGCCTCTGCCCCTCGTAAGAGCTGCCAATGGGGGCTCGGGATGTTGATCAGCTGATTAAGTAGTATGTGTTCTCGCCATCTACGAAAGAACAGAGTAAAGTGTTCAATTAGCATTGAGAGATCAAATTGCACGACAGAGATGAATAGAAGTGAAACTGTTCCTAACTCTGTAGTATCTGGGGGATATGTACAGATGTCTCTATACCGATCCCTCAGACTCTACCAAGCTTGTCCGTGAATTGTGAGACCTAAGAAACCTAAAGCTCTGATATCAACTTGTTACGAACCGTATTTCTCACCTTCGGGAATTGTCATGGCGCCTACTCGTGAAAGTTAGGCAAGCCGACAGGTACAGTTTTACCACCATTATTATTAATCAAACCAGAACAGATAATTGAAGGCAGGAATAGTCAAAACATGAAAAGGGGACTTCAGGCTCTCTGAACGCCAACAGATCTACCTTGGTCTCCCTGGATTGAAGGCAGCAACCTCAAAGCTACTCACAAGGTCCCGCACCAAAATCTGCACAAAAAGTACAGAGTGTCGTATCAATACAACTGACCACATGTACTGGTAAGTATCGAGCCTAACCTCGGTGAAGTAGTGACGAGGCTGAGACACGACAACCACAAAAAAGAAACCTGTGCAGTTTAATCATATACAAGCAGAACAATAATATACAGGAAAGTAACAAATAAAATGGGAAGGGGAATATGCTACAGGCAATATCAAATTCTAATAGTAATTCAACAGAGAGGCATAGTAAACATCATATTTGAATCAGCAAGAACAATGAAATAGTAACACGTGCACGGAATCACCCTTCGTACTTTTACTCTCGTCCTCACCATAAGAATCAACATAAAAGTCACAGCATCACCCTTCGTGCATTAACTCTCATAATCATGGCACGACATCACCCTTCATGAATTAACACTAACAATACCGCCACGACATCACCCTTCGTGCATTAACACTCATTTACAATATCATGTATGACATCAACCTTCGTACTTTACACTCTTCCTCACCCGAACAATAGAAACAATACATCCCGGTAAGGGAATCAACAATAGAACAATAACATCCCGGCAAGGGAATCAACTATAACCAATCTCGTTTCAATAGTTAACTTCACAAAATAAATCTCAACTTGAGTCAATACTCAACAATGGTCAATTACCAATAAAATGTCATAAGTCTTGTTCAACATGGATAATCATCAACTTAAGCATGAATAGTACATAATAAGAACCACAACGGTCACAGTTGAAGACTCACTTGCATGGTCGACACCAACATATAGATACTTGTCACCACACCTTTACGTCGTACTCAACACTGACACATAGCAAATAAGACAACAACTCCTACTCCCTCAAGCTAAGGTTAGACCAAACACTTACCTCAATTCCACGGCTAAAAATCAAGCCTCAATTACCGCTTTACCCCTCGGTTCCACTTCCAATCCCTTGTATCTAGTCATAATATACTTAATAACATCAATATATGCTAAATAAACCAATTCTAAAGCATGAATATAGATTTCCCAATGTTTTTCCCAAAAAGTCAAAAACTGATCCCGGGCCCGCTTGGTCAAAACTCGAAGTTCGGACCAAAACCTGATTACCCATTCACCACAAGCTCGGATATGCAATTGGTTTTGGAATCTGACCTCAATTTGAGGTCTAATTCCCCAAATTTTGAAATTCCCCAATTCCACCCAAAAACACTCAATTTCCCATGAAAATCCCTAGATTTTGTGATGAAATCTTGCAAAAAGGTGAGATAGATTGAAAGAGTTGAGTTAGAAATCACTTACCTATGATTTGGAGAAGTTTGGGTCTTTGGAAAATCGCCTAGGGAGATTTAGGGTTCGAGAGATTTGAAAAATGGGTGAAAATCCCGTCTAAGTTATGATTTACACAGTCGTAGATATCGCATAATGTGAACTCGCAAATGCGACCAAAGCATCGCAAATGCAAAGCTTGGCCTGACCTGATGCCTTCGCAAATGCGAACTATTGTTCGCAAATGCTTTGATTGTTGGAGTCCCAATTGCAACGATGAACTTCGCAAATGCGAAGGTCCCCCTCCCCGCCCTTTGATCGCAAATGCGATGCTCGCATTTGCGAGCCAGACTTCGCAATTGTGAAGTCTGCAGATCTGCAACACAACAGCTAATTCTTTAAGTTTCAAAACACTCTGTGGCCTATCCAAAACTCACCCGAGCCTTTGGGGCTCTAAACCAAACATGCACACAAGTTTAAAAACATCATACGGACTTGCTCGTGTGATCAAATAGCCAAAATAACATCTCAAACAACGAATTTAGCACCAAAACTCATGAAATTTTCAATATAGTTTAAACTTCTTATTTTCTCAACCAATGGTCCAAATCACGTCAAATTACTTCCGTTTTCCACCAAATTTCATATATATGGTCTAAATACCAAAACGGACCTGTACCGGGCTCCGGAACCAAAATACGGGCTCGGTACCAACAAGATCAAATCTATTTAGATTTCCAAACACCATTACATTTTCAGTTAAACAATTTTCTTCAAAAATTCATTTCTCGGGCTAGGGACCTCGGAATTCAATTTCGAGCATACGCCCAAGTCCAAAATTTTACTATGGACCCTGCGAGACCATCGGAACACAGGTTCGGGTCCATTTACCCAAAATATTAACCGAAGTCAACTAAAATCATCTTTTTAAGCCAAAATCATTATTTCTAAAAAATTTCATACAAAAGCTTTCCGGTATCGAGCCGGGACTGTGCATGCAAATCGAGGAGAGATAAAAGAAAGTTTTCAAGGCCTCAAAACACAAAAATGGATTCCAAAACAAAAGATTACCTTTTGGGTCATCACATAAACCAACATATAATCCCTTGTCCTTTTCATATACTTTATTATATGTTTAACGACAGTCCAGTGTTCTCATCCAGGGTTAGATTTAAATCTAATAACCATACTAACAACAAAGCAGATATCAATTCTAGTGCATACTATAGCATACATGAGACTCCCTACAGCAGAAGCATAAAGGGACCGCGTTCATCTTTTCTATCTCATTAGTCGTTTTTGGGGACTGATCTTTCGACAGAGAGATTCCATGTCTAAAAGGGAAAAAGGCATTCTTGGAATCTTACATGCTAAACCTGGTGAGAATAGTATCAATATAAAGTGCTTGGGATAAACCTAATATCCTTTGCTTGCGATCTCGCATAAGCTTGATCCCAAGGATATGTACCGCATGTCCCAAGTCTTTCATATCAAAACGCGAGGATAACCATTCCTTTACTGAATTCAACATGCTCACATTATTTTCTGTGATCAAAATATAATCCACGTACAAAACCAAAAATTTAATTTTATCTCCATCCCACTTCTTATAGACACAAAACTCATTTTCACATTGATCAAAACCGAAGGTTTTAATCGATGCGTCAAAACAACTATTCCATGCTCCAGAAGCTTGTTTCAATCCATAAATGGATTTCTTTAATTTACACAACATGTGCTCATTGCCACTTTTTATGAAACCAACTGGTTGTGCCATATAGATGCACTCATCACAGCTTCCATGAAGAAAAGCCGTCTTAACATCCATTTGCCAAAGCTTATAATTTTAATGAGCAACAATAAATAAGAGAATCCTAATAGATTTAAGCATGTCTACTGGTGAAAAGGTTTCCTCATAATAGATCCCTTCTTTTTGAGTAAACCCTTTTGCAACAAGCCTAGCTTTAAAATTTTGCACTTTTCCATCCACTCCTCTCTTTTTATTATAGATCCATCTACAACCAATGGGTTTGACTCCAGTAGGTGGTTCTACAACATCCCAGACTTGATTGGAGTACATGAATCCATTTTAGATTTCATAGAAGCAACCCATTTATAGTATATGTATCCTGTAGTGCGTCGTTGTAATTAATAGGTTCTGTATTAGGCTTTTCAGGGATTCTATCATAATATTCTCCCAAGAGCGCAAACCTGAGAGGTTTTTTAATAATTCTCCTACTACGACTAGTCACTACAGGTGCAGTCTGATTTTGATTTTGAATTTGACTCATAACATCATTTTTTGGAACTGAGGCCTCAATGTTATACTCCACACCATGCGGTGTTGGGATATCATTAACTTCTTCATGGAGTGCAGGCTGCAGAACAATTTTAGGCTGCTCAACAATCTGAGGTTGCTCAACATTACTCCCACTACTTTGGGGTATTAAGATATCAGGCAATTGCTCTTCTGCATTTTGCTGCCTATTGACATTTCTCCCACAATGATAATGCAGTGGTATGTCAATACTGGCTTCCGAGATACGTTCTAGAGATGAGTCATTAGTTACTCCATTACTTAATTCCTGTAAATCTAGTTTACTTCTAAGAATATGGTTCATTAAATAGTCCTCTTCTAAAAATCTGGCATTTGTCGTAACAATTACCTTCTTTTCTCTGGGAAAATAAAATAAACCGCCTTTAGTTCCTTTTGGATATCCAATAAAAATGCATACTTCTGTCCTCGATTCCAATTTATTCTCTTTTCCTTTCAGCACATGTTCTAGACAACCCCAAAACCCGAATGTTTCATAAACTTGGCTTGCGCCCAGTCCACAATTCTACTGGAGATGAAGGTACTGACTTTTGAATGAACCAAATTTAGAATGTAATTTGTTGTTTCTAAAGCACATTTCTAAAAGGAAGAAGACAAATCGGAATAACTTAATATTGATCTAACCATTTCCATAAGGGTCCTATTTCTTCTTTCTGCCACACCATTTTGTTATGGTGTTCATGGAGAAGATAATTGAGATGTAATTCCACAACATTCTGAAAGGTATTCACCACCACGAGTAGATCGCAATGTTTTGATATATTTATTATATCGTTTCTCTGTTTCCGACTTAAATTCTTTGAATTTCTCAAAGCATTCAAACTTACGGCGCAATCGATAAATGTATCCATATTTAAGTAATCATATATGAAAGTAACAAAATACTCAAAACCACCTCTTGCTTGTATATTCATAGGCCATACAAATCAAAGTGAATTAATTCTAACTTATCGTCGGCTCTGTTTCCTTTTGAGGAAAAATGTCTCTTGGTCATTTTACCTTCTAAATAGGATTCACAAGTTGGCAGTGACTCCACTTTCAATGAACTCAAAGGTCCATCAGAGACCAATCTTGAAATCCTATTTAGATTTATATGACCTAGACGTAAGTGCCACAAATAAGTTTGGCTTAATTCAGAAATACATTTTCTTTTATGTGGCAGATTAATGTTATTTAATTTTTTTGGTTGTTGTAGCACATGAGGAGATATGTCAAGAATAAAAAGGTCATGTATTCTAGTAGCAGTGTAGATAAAACGTTTATTAAACTTAATAACAACAGAGTTATTAGCAAAATAAACATTATAACCAACATCCATTATCTTTGAAACCGAAATAAAATTCCGTCTAATAGAAGGTACATAGAGAACATCTTTCAAAACTAAAACTCTATTACTACTAAATGAAAATCTAATATCTCCTAATACTAAGGGTAGTGTTGGCTCGCCATTGTCTTGAAAAATGCAAACTTCATTCTCACTTCGCAGTCGCGTTTCCTGAAACCCCTGCAAAGTAGTGCATATATGATTAGTGGCTCCTGAATTTACACACCAAAACATGGTAGAGCCAGCCGCTAAATAAGTTTCAACGACATTTAAATTTGAATTACCTTGCTTATTCAACTTTGCCAGATAGGCATGGCATTGCTTTTTGTGATGCCCAGGTTGCTTGCAATGATAGCACTTTCCTTTGGGCTTTTTCACACCAGCCGCACCTCCAGGTTCCAAAACCTTTTGAGCCTTCTTCTTTTTGTCACGACCCAAAATCCGTTAATAGGGCGTGATGACACCGGACACTACTGTCAGGTAAGCCAACACTAAATAGTTAATTAAATTCTCATTTTAATATTTTTGAAACCATAAATTTCTTTCAATTTAACTAGTAAAAGATGAACTTTAAAGAATAATAATAATGTTTTCCAATTTCAATACTAAATATCCCATAATCATCCTAGAACCCGGTGTCGCAAGTGCATGAGCATTTACTAGAAAATAAAATAAAATACAATAACCGTCTGGAATACAAATTTGGACAGAAAAGAAAAATAGAAATACTCTGAATGAGACTCTGCTGGATGCGGATCGTACATAAGATGCAGCTCACCTATTATATCCCGTACTTATTAGGATAAGTTGTAGTAATCCATATGAGCTTGAAGGGATTAAGACCATTCATCAGATTATAGAGGAATTGTGACTATGTTATTGTAAGATCACGTAAGTTTAACAACATTTATACCGTTATATATATATATATGTATATATGGTATTTTGAGTGGAACATTTTTGTAAAAAAATGGTTTGAAAATTATGATTTTATATAGTTATTAAAAGGAGGTTATCTTTTTATCATTTTAAGAATTAAGCGTACGAAAATTTGTACTCTTTATATAGGATTAGGAAAATTATAACTTGAGAAAATTTGTTCAATACTTGCACGGTAGAGAGTATGTCTAAATTAGAAACAGAGATTAGTCTTATCTTATGTTCACGTGTGACCTATTTAAAGGAGTAGATTGATGATTCATAAGTCAAGTTCCTAATGTGGAAATAGTACAAAAACACTATATGATTAATATGTATTAATGGGTGACATCTAGAAAATAAGGATGGACCCCACTATCCACTAACTAAACTATTACTTTCACTTTTGGTAGATACACTCATGTCTTAAAATATACATGTCTAGTATGTCTATCACAAGCAGCATCTTAGCAGATATAGAGAAAATACATATTTTACTTCTTATCAACATAGATTAGAAGCATGTCCCCTCAATTTGAGCTACAATGTTTGAAGTTAAATATATCTCCTTGCATTGAACCAAAACATGAAGAACAATATAGATGTTATACCCACAACGGTTCCCTCCGGATGATAGAAATTTGGAGATTTCTTCGTATTAAAGTAAGGTGGAAGAAGACTAGTTTTGGCAAACAAGATTAAGGAGATTGTTCATAGATACAAGTAGGAAGTTGACATTAAAGGTATGTTAAGGCTAATCCTTTTTTCTTTTGGCATGGTCCAAGAAATGATACGTAAACGTAATGATATTCCATAAATGGTTTCACTCTTAGCACTGAAGGATGTCGATGTTATTCATTCCCCTAAAGTGATATTCAAGCATGTCTAAGTATGTATCTAGTTCCCTATTGAGGTATTTGATAAAGATGTTATTGTTTATAATATAGTAATACATGCATCTTCATGCATATGCATTTACCACCGAGCTACGGCTGGTCGGACAGTCATGCATTTACCACTATGCTACGGCCGTTTGGGCAGTTACCTATTTACCACTGTGCTACGCCCTGTCGGGTAGTCATGCATATTCATTTACCACCATGCTATGGCTGGTTGAGCAGATATGCATTTATCACCGGGCTACAACTAGTCGGGTAGTTACCACCAGTTGGGAAGTTATGTATCATTATTTACCAACGATTGGCAGTTATACATTTACCACCATGCGACGGTCGGTCGGGCAGTTACCACTGATCAGTTGGGCAGTCATGCATCATACGATATGTATAATAGAGATATCTCAATGAGAATTATTATATATATGTAAGTATAATAAGTATGCATATACGGTGGAACTTCAGAGATTCAGGTTGATTCTTATATGTCTTTAATTAATGCTGACTTATTGTTATGTTTCAGTTCTGTCTTACATACTCAGTACATTATTCGTACTGACCTCCTTTTGTTGGGGACGCTGCATTCATATTGCAGGTATAGATAATCAGTTTGACGAGTGCTTATAGTAGACGAGATTGGCATTCGGCGAAGGATGGGTAAGACTCCACCTCATTCGGAGTGCAGCCGAGTCTATAAGTTATCGTGTCATAATTTTGCTATAGACAGAGGCTTTGTAGACAGAGGTTCATGTTGTATAATATGTCAGAGGTCTTGACGGCCCATATATATTCATGTTTTAAGAAAAGTGGTTTAATGATACAATATTTTCTCACTTATAGTTATACATTATGAGTTGTGGCCATGTGGGCCTATGATAGTACAAAAGGAATGAGTCCAGCTAACTCGAACTATGTATGTTCTAGTTTTTGTCGAACGATCATGAGTTACAGAGTGGTTCGCTCGGGCCAGCACAACACCAGTTGCCAGCCACGCCTCCCCAGGTTCGGGGCGTGACATCACCTAAGTCCCCGTGTGCAACCACGCCGCTGCGCCCACAAGGCCACTAGACATACATGTGCATGTACAACAAAATGTACAGCAAGTGTAGTATGAGTACGAAAACAACGCATGCCCAGTAAGTGTCCAGTCTAATCTCGAAGAAGTAGTGACGAGAGGTCGACTCCGACACTTACTATGGTCAACAATAATATGTTGATAATATGATTAATATCACGACTCGAATTTCCTGCCCTCGAGAGTCGTGATGGCGCCTACTAGTGAAAGCTAGGCAAGCCAACCAACTGAACTATCTACCTAGTTTCCATTTCTAATCTGATAACATTCAAGAGCCAACAATTAGATAACAATAGAATTGAATAAGCGGAAGGCTGCATTTTAAAGTTTTAATAATACGGCTAATACCAATCCATACAAATCTACCCAAGACTGGTGTCGCAACTTCACAGACTATCTAGGAGTACTACAAATAAAGGTCTGAAAGAAATAAATACAACACTGTCTCTAGAAATACATGAAGGAAACAGGAATAATAGATAGAAGGAGACGCCAAGGCCTGCGGACGCCTGCAGGACTACCTCGGGTCGCCTGATGAACAAGAAATAGCAATCTCACTGCGGTCCAAAGTCTACAGCACTGGGATCTGCACAAAAGAGTCCAGAGTGTATTATCAGTACAACCAACCCCATGTGCTGGTAAGTGCCTAGCCTAACCTCGGTGAAGTAGTGACGAGGCTATGACCAGACTACCAAATAAACCTGTGCAATATAGCGTACAAAAATAATAGGAAGTAGTTAACAATGATGGAAACAATGATCAATCAGTGATATAGATAGCAGGCAACAAGAACACCGTAATGTTTCTCAACAAATAATAGATACAAGTGCAATCAATTAATCAAGTCCTTCAAATATAAATCGCTAAGATAATATGCTTTTCAATGAATATATTTCCTTTAAATAAATATCTTTCAAATAAGCATCTTTCGAATATAATTCTTTCGAGTAAAAGTCACCTTGTCACGCCTCATTTCATAATCATAAATAATATAGGTCTCTGCCCACTTTCATATTTTCACGTCACCTCTTGCCCATATTTATATCACAATCGCACGAACAACTCATGTGCCA